TTAACACCCCTCAGGGTGTGTGTTCTGTTAAGATACAGCCTGTTGTGCCTTAAAGCGGCTTCTACTGTACAGCACAGTGGAGTTGCCATAGTAATGGCTTCACAGTACTCCACAAGGGGGCTCCCTGTGGTAAGGGGAAAAATACAACATTAGAAATTACGTTTGGTCCAGACATTTCCCCCCCATAAATAAATACCCAGGCAATGCCAGTACAATAAAATGTGTCCTGTTTCATTTTTTACCACTGCATTTTCAGCAATTTTACTTTAGAGTTTTAATGACTTGCCTATAATGCATAGGCTGGAATCACTGGGAAATATGAGGATTTTTTTTCTCTGCGCTCTGCAGGATTTGGACACGGTTTAGATTCCCGTCCAGTTTCATGTGCTAAGCTATCCTATTTCATATACAACATTCCTCGTGGCCCAGAAGCTGCATTTTAGCTGCTTTTCACGGAGGAGACAATGTTATTTGTTCCCCACTACTACATGCTTTTGTCATATAGCCTAGTTAATGTAGACAAAGTTACTCGTTTTCCTATCTCTTTTACAGTTTACCTGCTAAGTAAGATTTGGGACTGGAGGACAGATGCCAAGATGAAGGTTTTATATTTGATTGCTGATTATTTATTCTTTGTGGGGTTCGGCTGCGAGTCATCATGCAATGCTGTCCAAGAGGTGAACGTAAGCATTGGGCTGGCACTGCTGCTGTATTGTGATCAGTTGCTTCCAAAGGAAAGTCCCACAGTTCTGGATCATCTGTAATCAGTCAGAAATTAAAACTAAACCCTCAACTATTGATTGTTCAGTTATGCGTCTGATTCCCAATGGCTCTAGATTGTAATGGAAGCCACAATATTCAGGGTCCAGCTCAGATATGAGAATGCTTAAATCTGAGGTTTTCTAGAAAAAGGGAATGTGTCATGGCCCCATCGGAGCCTGAGTCCGCAGAGGACGACGAGCTAGAGCTGGGGCCAATGAAAGAAGAGAGCATGACGTCGTTGGCTCCGGAGAAACAACCGGAGGAGGACGAGGCAGCTCTGGGTCTCTCAGGCTTGGGAAGGATTGCCAGCGAGGAAGAATGAGCACAGGATGACCGAGAGAAGGGGGAAGAGAGGGCAGGCAGTGGAGCAGGGGAACGACGGAGTTCCGGTGCCGAGCAAGGACCGCCCCCTTCCGATCCCCGAGCATGGAGCTGTGGAGGGGAGGAAGGAGCAACGCAGGCCAACCCGATGACTCGGGAGGAGAGCGCCCTGCCCCTCTTCACAAGGCTTACCTTGGGAACTGAGATTTAAGGAGATGCCTTTGGGAGGGGTGTTTGTCGGGAGCAAGCGTTGAATCCGTGGAGCCTCGCATGCAGTTGCCGACGTCTGGATTTTGCTGTGCTTTGTCTTGTGTGCCTTGTCCGATTTGCCTGCCTCACTGGACTTCTTGCCTTGGTTGCTACCTTGCTAACTTTGCTTACTGGACTACTTGCAGCCAGAGGCTGTTGGAGGTGTGTGAGAGAGCTTTGCTCCAGGACTTGCAGTAAACATGGGGACATATGATGACCCAGGGTGTGGGACAAAGGCAACATAGCCAGAAAACCGGTATACTTTATTAACACCAACTGTGACCCCAACGTCCCTGCCAACTCTCCGGCCTGGAGAAAAACTCTTCCACAAACCTGTAACAGCCTTTGGCTGAAAATGCTCCAATCCAAACCTTGTAAACAGAAAACTTCCAATTATAAATCCAACAAGGCAAGATAAAGTAATTAATATGGCAGGGCAAGCAAGATAAGGAGTTCCAGAAGTGAAGTGGGGCTGCCCTTGAAGAGTGTTCGAAGACTTCAGTTAGTCCAGAACGCAGCCGCGCGAGCGATTGTGGGTGTCCCCAGGTACCCCCACGTCACACCTATCCTCCGCGAGCTGCACTGGCTACCCATTAGTCTCCGGACCCGCTTCAAGGTGCTGGTCGTTACCTATAAAGCTCTACATGGCATTGGACCTGGGTACCTGAGAGACCGCCTCCTGCCGATTACCTCCCATAGACCGATTAGATCTCA